ACCTTCCAGGTCCTAAACAAAAAACATGGTTAGAAAAAGGATTGTGGGGGACATATAGGTGTGGTTCTTGCAGCCATTGTGAGGGTGTCATTCAGAGTAAGATTTTTTGTGATTTGAGAACGCAGAGAGAATTCAAGACGAATGGTTTTATTAACTGTAACTCTGAATATGTCGTCTACCGCCTACAATGCCCATGTGGGTGTTTCTATGTGGGTAGAACTAAAAGAAAACTAAAAGAGCGGTTTTATGAACACAAATACGCAATCCGAGTCAACAACGAAGATTACCCTATGGCCAAACACTATAAAGAAGTACATCATAGTGATCCATCATCTTTGAGAATTCAGGGCATTGAAATTATTAAAAAATTTCATTACGTGGAGGTGACATTTTAAAACGGTTATTGCAACGTGAAACTTTTTGGATATGGAGTTTTAAAGCAATGGATTATCCAGGATTAAATGAGGAGATAGACTATAGACCTTTTCTGTGATTCTGTAATATTGTTTTTCTTGTGACTACCTATTTCTCATATGTATTTTATATGTATATGTGTATGCATGAGTTCATGCGTGCTACCTGTTGCTTGTGTTTTATTTACAATGCAACCAACAGCTTTAGTGCTGTGAATCGGGTGAGAGGTGTGCCTTATCAATATATGCATGAGTGTACATGCATGCTGTTTTTGTTGCTTGTATATTTTTCGTTTTTTTATTGTGATCAATAGATTCGTTGCTGAGAACCATGTGAGAGATGTGCCCTAGCAATATATGCATGAATATATATGCATGCTATTTGGTGCCTGTGTTTTTTGTTTTTGTTTTTTACTGTGATTTATAGTTTTAGTACTGGGAACCGTGTGAGAGGCGTGTCTTAGTAATTACCTGTGTAGACCTTCAACACCTGTATGATTACTTGCACCTGTGTTTGTTTCTACTAGTGTGTCTTTGTTATTATAAGATCAGTTTTCTATCTGCTTCACTATGCCCTGAAGAAGGCTCCATGCCGCTACGCGTGGGTGTTTTAAAATTGTCCGTTTAGGACATGTCATTTTTCCAATAAAGACATTTTAACTAAGGAGTGCCTCGGTCATCAGAGATTTCTTTTCTCTACACTGTCTCTAAAGTTTTCAGCTTTAATTTGTATAATTTCCATTCAAATGATATTGTGATATTAACATTAACATTGTTTAGTTGAATATTAGCTAATTATATAATTCATAATAATATTCATGTTATTTTAGACAATGTCTATAATAAATGTAGTGTTCATTTAATGAAATTTAGTGATTCAATGTACTTCAACCCATTAATAAGATTTTTCTTTATAAATATGTTGTTCAATTACATGCTTTTGTAAATTTGTTGTTCAAATAAATAATGTTCAGTGAAATCAGCGAAGGTCGCCTACTTTAACCCTTTACAATATTTATGAATATTGATGTAGAGTGACTATGATCAATAAAATGGTTCAAGGTACTTTTCAGAACTAAATTAAACCTAATGTTAAAAAGTTGTGCTGTTTTGATATTCATAAACATGAAAAAATTGTTTAAATGTATTTGTATACTTGCCAAATCTGGGAAGAAACCACACTGAGTTTGTGTGTAACAGTTTAAACACTGAAAACCACATCTGTATTTCTTTAAAGTAGAGCCTAATTAATTTCCTTGGAAAAACATTGCATAACATAAACATTAATTATTTATGTTATGAACATTATTATGTGTAAGTGTTGTAAAAATGACAATTCATGTGTTAACTCATATGGTGTCATACCGAGTAACAATTTAAGTCAGGCGGGATAACGCTGTTTTTTTTTCCATTGAAATGCATAATTTCACTTAATGGAGTTGAGGAAACAATAATAACATGATATCAAGTCCTGTAAAACTTTTTCAGACATTGTGCATTTTAAATCACATCCAAGTGTTAAAATGTGTGTAAAGAACTTGAACAAGTAGGGTCACGTTTAAAGAAATCACAATATAATGAGAAAAAATAGTTGTGCACATTTTTTTTCTGAGCTCTAAATATTGTTTACTGCATCACTTTACATATTCATTAAGTATTATTGATTTGAAAAGTTTTAATATCATAATATTTAGAAAATGCATTAACGTTATCCCGTATGACATTTTGACTGGTGTCGTCACATGATTCTCAGTTAAACCGCTTAAAATGCATTGTTTAAAATTGAGATTTTATTAATAAGTAAAAAACATCCCCATAAAGATAACTACTTTGATGTGCAGTTTTAACCTATTTGAAATTTTTATCAGTTGAAAACCTTATTTGTCACTGGCCCAACTACTCAGGCAGTAAATAAGAGAATCAAAAATTAGTTTGATTTAAAAATGAATACACAACTAGGATAATCATTTTCTTTTATCAAAAATGAATAATTGATACAATTCTGTATGTATTTCAAAAAGGAGAGTTTGCAACACTGAAATACTAAATATCATTGATAATTGTAAAAGAGCACAGAAAGGGAAAGGCTACAGACAATTTTCTGCATGTTCTTAATGTTGTATCTCAGATTTGCAACAGATGTATATCTGTTGCTTGACTTATGGAAACTGACCAGACATACTTGAACATTGAAAAGGCTATTGAGAACTCAATATACAGTTGTGTTCAAAATAACAGCAGTCCAACATCACTAACCAGATCAATCACTGTTTTTGGTAGAAATTAAATTTCTACATGGCAAATAATTTACTAGTAGGTGTAGTAGAGTAATAGAATAATAGAAAAACAACAGACCCAACAGTCATGACATGCATTCTGCTAATTCTGTATAATTGAATCATTAATTGAAAGGGGCATGTTCAAAATAATAGCAGTGTGGAGTTCAATTAGTGAGGTTATTCATTCTGTGAAAAAACTAGTGTCAATAAGTGGCCCTTATTTAAGGACAAAGGCAGTACTGTACTGTACATGGTGGTTATAGTGCATTTCTCTCTGAAAATCTGAATAAAATGGGCCGTTCCAGACATTGTTCAGAAGAACAGCATACTTTGATTAAAAAGTTGATTGGAGAGGGGAAAACGTATAAAGAAGTGCAGAAAATGATAGGCTGCTCAGCTAAAATTATATCAAATGCTTTAAAATGGCAATCAAAACCAGAAAGACGTGGAAGAAACGGAAAACTACCATTCGAATGGATCGAAGAATAGCCAAAATGGCTAAGACTCAGCCAATGAATGTTCCAGGGTGATAAAAGAAGATCAAAGTTAACTGTGAGTACAGTAACAATTAGAAGATGCCTATGTGAAGCCAAGCTATCGGCAAGAAGCCCCCGCAAAGTCCCATTGTTGAAAAAATGACGTGCTAAAGAGGGTACAATTTGCCAAAGAACACATTGACTAGCCTATAGAGAAATGGCGCAATATTTTGTGGACTGATGAAAGCAAGAAAGAAAGTTATTTTTGGGTCTAGGGGTCAGTTTGTCAGACGACCCCCAAACACTGAATTCAAGCCACAGTACACTGTGAGGACAGTGAAGCATGGTGGCACAAGCATCATGATATGGGGATGTTTCTCATACTATGGTGTTGGGCCTATTTATCGTATACCACGGATCATGGATCAGTTTGAGTACATCAAAATACTTAAAGAGGAAATGCCCTTGAAATGGGCAACAAGAACGACCCCAAACACACCAGTAAGCGAGCAATAGCCCAATGCTATTTTTGAGGCAAAACCAAGAAATGCAGAAGAATTGTGGTATGTAGTGCAATCGTCCTGGGCTGGAATACCTGTTCACAGGTGCCAGAAATTGGTCGACTCCATGCAACACAGATGTGTAGCAGTTCTCAGAAACCGTGGTTATAAAACTAAATATTAGTTCAGTGATTCACAAGCTAAATCTTCAAGCATTTTTTTGGTTTATACAGTAAATGTTTGACTTTGTAAAGAAAAATGCAGTTATTTTTTTGAACAGCCTAATATTCATTTTTCTTCACTTTCTATAACAAATTTGATAAATTTTTCTTCATGTTTTGATTTCAATAGAATGTGCAGTGTTCCCAATGAATTTGTGTGTATTGAAATACAAGTTATTATAAGGATTTTGAGCTTTACTCACTTTTTTTTAAACACACTGCTATTATTTTGAACACAACTGTAGCTGTCAAAGGACATAAAATGTGAAAGTAAAATAAAGATATACAGTACAAAATAAAGATGGCTCAAACACAAAAAAGGTATTTTAAATTTCCTTAGGCTCACTCTGGACAATATCAATACCCAATTTCCATTTTCCACATAAGCTTATAAACATAATTCATAAATTCAACAATTCTCTGCATTTACTTGAGGCTTAGCATGATGCTCATTATTAGGCAAAATACTCAGGCAAAAAAATAAATAAAAATACCCTAAATCAAATATAGCCTTAATGAACCAACTGAACTGAATTAAACGCCAGCAGCTTTATCACCCTGTAGCCCAAGACTGGTTACCCACTGAAGCTAAGCAGGGTTGAGCCTGGTCAGTACCTGGATGGGAGACCTCCTGGGAAAACATGGGTGCTGCTGGGAGAGGTGTAAGTGAGGCCAGTAGTGGGTGCTCACCCTGTGGTCTGTGTGGGTCCTAACCCGCCTGCCCGCCGCCGCGTTTTTTAAGGTTTTGAAAGTTGTCATTTTAATGTAAGAATATTTACCAAATATTATGTTGTACTTTTGCTGTAAATGTAATCTATGAGATCAATCAATTATTCTATTCCATTGGCAGCTGAATAATTGGCAGCTTTTATTTGAAAGGTTTATACGTCTAACAAAAAACATGCTGTTAACTTACAAATTCAGATACAAAGTAAATATTCTCCTGACATTATTTCAATAATTTATTTTGGCCTAAGTAAAGTGACAATATTAAAGCAAATTATTTAATTTTTGGAAATAACATTATAATATTACACATAATATTTTATCACACAGTAAATATAGCAGCTATTATAGGTGTCTTTATATGTTAGGAAGGGTTGTCCCTCACAAAGGAATCATCCAATTTTGGTGTCGTTGGCATCAAAAATGTTGCAAACCCTTGCTCTATAGAATATAATTTTTTACAGTAGATTACGGAAAACTGTTTGTTATGATGTTTATCAGTGCTAAAGAAGAGCAGTTCACAATCACCTTTACCATTTGATAAAGACAAGCCCTGCTAGTACAACATAGCCCAGGGTAAGAAACAGCACCTTCAGTAGCCTGTCGTGTTTATCTGCCAGCTCTTGTGAGAGGATCTCAAAGAACGTAATGAAGAGGAATGTGCCGGCTGCCAGGCCCTGGAGCACTACAGATATAATACTTTCTGCTAAGTGCTGGACTGTCTCAATACCCATGCCAATCCCGATGCCCAGAGGAATCATTAGGCTTACTGTTATGCCCAGTTTACAGGCATCTCGTAAGGGGACTCCTGCCTTGGCTACACTAACCCCCAGTGCCACAGATGCTAGCGTCTCGTGGATGGCCACACCAATGAAGAGGCTTCCAAGCTTAGCCCCATTTTCCTGAAGACCCAAAGCAAGACCCTCAAAGATAGAATGAGCGGACAGTGCTAGCACCAGGCTAGCTAATCTCAACGGCCCAGCACGTTTCAGCTCAGAAGGGTTGAAGTGTCCATGGTGATGGGAATGGTGCTGCTGGGTTCTGGCCACAACCCGAGTGGGAGCAATGAATGGAGCATCATACTCTGAGTCGCTCCCCACTTCCGAGCCACCAGCATTAAATGTCTCCAGGTCGATAAACGAGGGCTTCTCCTTGCGGAAAGTAAGCACAGTCTGTTCCACAAATACTGTGAGGAGAAATCCAAGAATCATCATGGTCTCTGCCAACGGGTACTGACTGGTGGACTTTACCTCTTTCTCTTTCAAAATGTCCTCAACCTAAAAGAAAAAAAAAGAAAAGTAACATGCACAAACAGTAATTTGATTCCTTATATCCCAGTGATGATAATTCTGTTTTTATAATTAACTTTGGTAATATAACAGATAAATACAATCCTTGGGTCTTGAAGAGATAGTTTGCCCAAAAACATACAATTCTGTCATAATTTACTCACCCTCATGTTGTTTCAAACCCATTATTTAATTTCTTCTGTGGAACATGAAAGGAAAATTGTTAAAATGTATCTGCTCATTTACAATTAATGGGGACTGAAGCTTACAAGCTTTTTGCAAAGGCACCATAGAAGTGTAATGAGTTCTCACACATGTTATTGTCATATAAACTGCTTTTATGGCACTTTTGCATCCTTTCAAACTTGAAGCCCTATAAATTGTAAAAACATGGAAACGAGCGACCAGTGCATTCTTGAAATTGCTTCCTTTGTGCTCCACTGAAAACAACTAAAACGTCTTTGAAAACAACCTGAGGGTGATTCATTTTATTTTTTTATTTTATTAACAGTCAGAGTTGACTTTTACTTTAAGAACTAAAATCACGCTCGATAACATACCTTTTCTCTAACTGCTGGTAGAAGGGCATTGAAGCAGGTGGCCAGAAAAACCCCTCCTCCAAAAGAGTTGCTTAAAGCAACTACTCTTCTGTACCTCGTGATTTTATCATAGTCCATCTGCATCACCCTCACAGGAATAAGGATGCCCCCCAACATGAGGGCAAACACCCCAAGCAGGCAGAGGATTTTAGCTACAGCTAACTCCATGCTAAGGAGGTGGACTGCGATCCCACTACAGCAAGTGTACCTAAAATAAACACAGAAGAACCGCGAAGAACCCAAATCCACTCTTCTTTCTAGGCACCCTGAGGTCAGGTTATGGACAACATCCCTAAAAGAAATTTTACAAACGTCAGTCCATAGTTTCACAAATATCTTAATTAATGGGATTGAAGCTATTTCAAAACAGTATTAGTGCGACAACAGTTATCAGGCATGTATAGTAGATTAATTTACACCTGACAACCATTGCTATTGTTTATAAGGTGACTGACGATGTTAGTGTACATTAGCATGCTAACTCGTATGAGCTACTAGCTATCGAAGTAGAAAAACAAGCCCTTTATACGAGGGATGCATGCATTTACATGTTAACGACAAAGTACCACATTACAGTAATATGTGCCAGCCTTTTGTTTTACGAATTTATATCAATAAACTGGGTCCGTTTAAAGCAGTTTTAGTTCAAATGCGTAGTGCAAGTTAAACACTGCACGCATATTTATTTATTCTGTATTACTAGATTAAAAGCGCCTTCATCGAACAGTGAAAAGCAAGCAAACAATACTTCACGTATGCATGAAACGAAACGTTTTTACCCGTTTTTGTTCCGATACTTCCTGCTGCTGAACGCTGAAAGCGCCTGTTCAGAGGCTGCGTCTCAACACCTTTTGAACTGCCTAGTGCCAGGCTCGTACGCGTTGCAAGGCAAAACGCCCCCTTTTTAAATGCGAATTATAAATATTTTGCTACCGCTAAAGGTGCAAAGACTGCTTGAACATTCTAAACGTTTTTACAAAGGCACAAACAGCTGTCTATATATGCAGCTCGCTAAATACACCATCATACATATCTAAGTTCTTCAAAATGGACAAAAACATTAATTTCTCTTTAATTCAAAACAGACCAGAACAAATTAGCATGTATATGTTAAGTTAAGTAATGGTAATTTTGACAAATCTCATTGGTTGCAAAAATGACAAGCAGTTTTGAAACAAAGCTTCTCAGCTGCAAAAACAAGTCTTATTTAATCTGACATTTAATTGTCCATGTTGAAATTGCACATGTTCCTTGCCAACCCCTTTCAGTTCAGACAGAGACTTGTCATAGGACAGATGAATCACTGAGGTGTTACACAGCAAAACTGCATAATGTCCATGTAGCAGCAATTCATTACAATCACAAAAAGGATTATTACTTGGGAATATAGTGTTAACCCAGTGTGATATTTCATTTGATCAGACATTTTTTTTGAGTCCAGTGCCCAAATACGATGAGAATATTGTGCACTGATGACCGCTTCCAACAGGTAGGGCAATGTGGGGCAGTGGGAACACATGCAGTATTTATAGATGAATAAACTTGGTCTTGTCCCTGGAGTTGTAGGAACAAGGTATATCTTAAAAAATAAAAGTAGTAGCCTATCTTCCACAGGTCCACCAGGTCAAGAGTTGAATTCTGCGCAAAATAAAAGGAGAAGTGATGTTAAGTTCTGAACAGATATACTGTATATAATAAGCTGTTGTTTGAATATTAAGTGATGTGTGGTACCATGGAGTGTGTCAGGGTTCATCATTTCCAGCACCACTGGGAGGTCGACTGCGCATTTGACTCCTCAGCTGCTCGATAAGCTCAGGGTTCTGCTGCTGCATTTGCTGTGCAAATTGCTGACCACTATCACATGACAGAAAATCACTAGGTCAGCCCCACTGAATATAACCGTGAACTTTTAGTTAGGAAGTATAACGGTAAACTATGAAATGGAGCTGCACGATTCTGGATAAATCGAGGATTGCGATTTTTTCTTCTTTTTTTAAATTTTTTTTTAAATGGTGCTCACAATTCTGAATAGGCAAAGAAACACAATAACATGTAATTTACTAGAGGTTCTGACAAAATGCTACAGTCTGTTTAAAAAAATATTAATTTGAATGTGTGTATATATATATATATATATATATATATATATATATTAGTGCTGTCAAACGATTAAAATATTTAATCACGATTAATCGCATTAATGTCATAGTCAACTCACGATTAATCGCACATTTTTATCTATTCTAAATGTCTCTTGATTTCTTTTTGTCCCATTATTCTTTCTCGGCAGGGATCACTGGTGATCCCGGATTATTGTTCAAAATTCATTACTCGTCAAACCATCACACTCTTACTTGATCTGGACAAGCTCGGCATCATAAGAAAGGTTTAACTAGTCTACAGCTTCGATGTTTGACCACTGTTTATGATTAAACTGGTTTGCAGTGATATTCATTTTTTAATTTATGCCAGGAGTGCAAAATAATTCATCTGTAACGTTAGTTATTTTGAATAGAAATCATCACTCATAAAACATTCATTCTCGTCTTCTCCGGTAGCCTGGGAAAACCCAGACCACATCCGGCAAATTTAGATTTGCTCTGTAAGTAGGTCTGGCAAAGAGCTCATTGAAGTCCATTTCCAATCCGTCGAAATCGCGGCACCAATCAGAAACGTTGGGGCGGGCTTTACACGATGACGACAGCACAGCGACGGTGAAGCAGATTTTTTACATTTACAAAGATGGATGCCGCTGTGGAACTATGTGTGACGGTTATAGTTGAACACCGTCATTAGAACTCTATAACCGCCAAAACCATGTTATTAAAATATTTGTTTTCACAAATTTCTCCGGTGTAGTGTATCATTTAACGGCGTACACGTACGCGGAATCACTCGGACGTTTAACGGCGTAGACATACACGCAAAAGATGACGGTTAATTTCGGCGTGGACACACGCGGATAGCTCAAAATGCGTATAGATAACCCCCTACTTGACTTGAAAGTGGCGTGTATGTTTACGCAAAGTCATGATGTCATGTTAGACGTTCACTGTAGTGTATCAAGAAAATACCATACCAAACAATACCATAAAAAACACTCTACCCAACAACTTTTCACAACCAGAACGGAACAAAAACGAGTCTAAACCAACCAAGGCTCAGCCAATGTCAATAATAAACTACTGATCTTGGCACCGCGGCCCAAAATGTAAAAAACATAAAACTACTTACTCATTTAGTTGCATTCTCCGGGCCTTTCTTTCGGCAAATTCATCCACGAGCAATTAGCTAGCGTCTAGTAACCTCTCTCACACTGTGTTTTCTTTTTTTAATTTGACGCGGCGATGCCGTAAAAAATGACGGTACAGTTCTACAGCAGCCGCGGGGTGCAAAAAAATTAATAAACGCATAATAAATGCACACAAGAAATGGCGGAGAAATTAGACATTATGGAGAAACAAGAAATTATTACACATGACATGCATACAAAAAATATATTTATTGTGGCTACAGTTTAAAAATGAATTAACTCGTTTTAATTAAAAGTTCCCCATGGGCGGGCCCCCTATCGGCCCGGGCCCATTTGCACGTGCATACCCTGCATGCCCAGACGCTACGCCACTGGATCGGAGGCTGCTACTGCTGGAGATGATTCGGGAGAGGTCTGTGCCCCTTTACCGATCAGAGCGCGCGCTGACACGGAGTAAAGCCTTGTTTATACTCGACGCGTCCGCACGAGCGCGAAGGTGCGCGGGGCAAAAATCACGCGTTCGGTGCGCAAGACCGGCAAGACCCCATTTCGCTTGCCTGTGTGCACGGGTATTTTGTAACAGCAAGCGCGGCGCCGCATCCGAGGATGAACGACTTCAAGCTGAATCTGCCCGAGCCGTTCGTCTCACACCACCGGCACCCAGTTTGCGCGTCTAAATTGCAAAGTTTTTTTTGTTAAAGTCCCTGTAAAGGCAATTCTAAAAAAAAATTCTAAACCCATTATAAATGTTAGAAATGTATTGCTAAAACATATTACAAAGACTGTGAACTGTGAATTACTGAATTGTGGAGTTAGACCGTTAAACAGTTTTTCACCATTGCTATTTTCCGGATTTTTTGGGCGGGGCTAAAACGGGGCTCGATGACGCACTGGAGCCCCTGAGCTCCTGGACACGCCCCTACTTGATGACGCACTGAGGCCACTCAATCGCGACTTACTGTCAGTACTATTAGTTACTACAGCCTACAGTTTGCTAGCTAGCTATGCCTTCGACACGGAAATGCGTAGGCAACTACCTGGATGCGATCATGTACAAAACAGATCGGTGTCTTTATTTAAATTTCCTAAAAACGATCACATCAAGAAGAGGTGGATTAATTTTGTGAAGAGCCAACCTTGATTGAGAGCTGAAGATCACCGCCAACACCCGCCTCTGTAGCGATCATTTTACACGGGATAGTTTTATAAACTTTCGTCGGAGACAACTGGGATTCACTGATAATCCGCTGTTACTGGTGAATGGGGCCGAACCGACTATCTCCCGCCTCGGCCTTCATCTCCCCGTCCCGAAAGCAGTATCACAAATATCACCGTCGGCTGCTTTCCCGCGAGTGGGCGTGGTTTCAGCGCAGCCAGCGGACACGCCCCCAGCGTTTGAGAGCAGAGAATACTGCTCATTTTTTCAAGATTTTGATAGCTTATTTTATGTTCTTGCCGGCTTTTATCATTCAAATTTGTCTGGGTGGCTAATAACACATTTTTCTGTGGTGTGACAAACTCAGAACACATACTTAATTTTTACTTTACAGGGACTTTAAGGTTTTGTTTACTGTGTGTGATTTATTTAATGGAAAGCACATTCACTTCCAGTTGTGTTGCTGTTAATTTTAAATAAACGTAGAGCAAGTAGCTGATCAGTGTCTGCTCGTTTATTCAAACTAAGTTGTTCTATAACAGATGAACGTCGCTCTGCACACGTCATCTTCATCGCTCTGATTGGTTTTAGGTCTATCCAATTGCTCCAAGAGGCATACGTCCGTTGGTGACGCCCCTTTGGAAATGATTTGTCTATGAAGCTTTGCCAGACCCTAACTCAGTTACAACTGAGAATGGTCTGGTTTTAACCAGGCTACTTCTCCGGTTTATTTGTGTTCAAATACATACAATATACAGCATCCGCCAGGGCTATTAGTCCAATGGTGCGCATATTTGGAGAAATGATTAATAATTATCACATGCTAGTAAAATATTTCGTCATACAGAATAACATTTCTATTCATTTACCACTGAAATATGCGATCTAAAGAGCTCAAACAGCGAACGGAGCGAGATGTGTGTCTCCTCTTCCTGGTTCGCGTCATATTTGACCTCAAAGCTATATAATTCGCTGTACAGCTGTCAACCATCTGACGTGGTCCAGCGTGACCTCTTCTGCATGACGCGTCATGTGTACACTTCCTCATACTGGACATCCGTGATAAAGCGAAACTGACATCTCTTCACCTGAAACAAGGAACTAATAAATGCACGATTGAAATATTATGTGTTTTGTGTGTGATTTTCGTGCGATTTGGGGTTTTCATATGAATAAAGAATGTTTACAGAATGCATATGCTAGGTAAGGGTAGCCCATAGCTTCATCTAAAATGCTAAATATAACATATTTCAAAATCTTTTCATGAGTTGAAACCATTTTAATCCGCAACCGGAATATGATACAAATACTCGATGTTGTTTTAAAGTGAACTTTGAATAAAAGTGTAATATTAATAAATTAAATTGTGTCATGTAGCTTGAGGCTACTTGTGCTAATGCACCTGCTTGCAGAAGCTATTCCATTTCATACAATCATTTAAAAAAAATAATTCGCATTTAAAGTTCCAA